ATAGTTAGAAAAAATAATTAATAAATAATTTAAAATAATTATGAATTAGAATATTTTAAATAACAACATTCTTTTTAATTTTTATATTAACAATTTTGATTACGTTTCATAATAATAATTTTATAGTATTTTATTAGAAAATATAAAATTTAATTTGTAAAATAATAACTTATAAAATATTATGAAACAAAATTACATAAAAATTAAATAAATAATATTGTATTTCATTAATTTTTTTATAATAAATATAAAGTATATAAGAATTACCCTTAATGTTAACAAAGATTTCATTCTATATTATTTGCTATGTTCTATGATATATTTTAAACATGGCGAATAATATTTTTAATAGATTATACCAAGCATTTAAAACATTTGATCAAATAATTAATATTATTTTAGGACGCAATTTTCCAAGTAATAAAACAAATTTTTTTTATTATATTTAATTATATAGAAAAATTAAAAATAATTTGAAATTTATAAAAATATTTCATTGTTTCTAACCTTCTTAAAATATTACAATTTAAATTATTTATAAATAACAAAAATTATTAATCAGAAATTATTATCACATTTATATGATGTATTTTTATATTTATTACCTATCAAATATTATTTATTTTATTTAGATAATTTATACGTGATTGAATGTAATTCTGTAAAACAAGTACAATCTATTAATTTTCCTGGGCAATCTTTAAAAGATATGTTAAATAATACAATTTTATGGGCTGTACCTAAAAAACGGCGAACTATCGAAAAGCGTCTTTGTCGAAGATTTGGTATTCCTGAATTACATTGGAAACCCCATGTTCCTAAAACTAATATCTTAATGTGTAGAAAATGTGGTCATGATTATGAAGCTGGTACTCTTTGTGGTAAGATATATAATATATATTTATATAATTATTATTTAGCAATATAAATTATATTCAAGAATTATAATTTTACTTTTATTTTTTTTTAATTTGTAGGATATTGTTATGAAATAGTTAAAAAAGAAACAGAAATAATGCAACAAGCTATACAAGACTCGTTAGGATTAAAACCTGTGGAACAAGATGTTATAGTATTATATGAAGGAGAAAAAGAACAATATGAAGATAATTTTTGGAAGGTATTGATATATATTATATATTATATATTATATATGCTGAAAAGAAATTCCATAAAATAAAACATAGGCAAAATATCTCTTTACTTTATTTATTATTATAAAGTACTTGATATATTTTTGTCTACTTTTAATACACATATTTTTATGTATTTTTATGTATTAAGTATATTAAAATCAACAGAAATTTCTTTGAAAAAACTTTTTTTCACCAATGTATAATAATAATGTACATAAAATAGAATATTATATATAATATATAATTTTTATATATTATATATACATTA